AATTAAACTTTATTATAAACTTAGGGCAGTGCTTAACCTACATACTAGTCTAGTTTAAGCTAACCTAGCCTAGATTACGCTCTATAGGCAAGGAATTAGCTATATTAGCTACAGCTGCAAGCCTAGAGGGAAATCTGTGTGTAATAAGCTTAAGTATGTACTTAATAACTACTTTTTTTTTAAGCTTAGTTAGATTTCTTAATTTAGGCTAGCATTCTGCTTGTAAAGGCTGTCTAGCGCGTTAATTGCTTAGTATTGTGTAAGAGACATTATAGATAGCTGCAGCACGTTGCAAGGAGAGTTTTAAGTCTTATTTAAGAGCCTAAAGAGTAAGCTGTATCTAATGTTCTTTAGAAGATTTAATCTAGTGTTATTGTTAAGGCATTATGTAGATAGGTAGAGTTTAGTAGGGGCTTAGCAAAAGTGGCCGGCCAACCCGTGTGGCCGGCCAACCCGTTAGGTACGTTATCTATATAATTACTAGTAAGCTAGATACAGTTATGCACGTTAAAGTTGTAACTAAACAGTTTTAGCTTAGAACTTAGCTAAGTATAGAAGAATATATAAGAACTATAGATTTTATAGTTTGTGTTTTTATAGTTATCTAATCTTATAGTTTTAACTAATTGTTATCTTCTGCTCCTATCTTTTAGACTATTGCATTCCTGCTACTTAATATAGCCTTGTAGACAGAAGCTCTTAGACGGGCTAGCCTACCTTGGGTCCCTGTACAGTAGGTGCCAGGAAGTGATCATCCTCCGCACCGTGCGCAAGCGAATACGATCTGCCCACGCAGTTTTCTATAACGTACTTCATAGGCAAGTTGCTTACACACCTAAGTTACTTACTTTTGCTAAGACTCTACTACACTACTTTTTCTACACTAATGTATTCCTAATAACAGCACTTAAACATGTTAAAGGAATGTTAAATGCAGCTTATGCTTTAAGCTTTTAAATAAAACATAATACTTTTTAAGCAACACGCTGCAGCTATCTACAGAGTCTTTTAAAAAATAATAAGTAACTAACACACTAGATAACTTTTCTAAGCTAATTATATAGCTAACTTATAAAAGCTAAATAATAATAAAAAGCAGGTAATTATTTAGCACATACTTAAGCTAAATGCGTAAGGATTTCCTCTTTAGCTAGTAGCTATAGCTAATATAGCTAATTCTTTACATGCTACGTATAATATAAGCTATATTAGCATAAACTAGCTTAATATGTTTATTAAGTGTTACCTAAAGCTTAAAGTAAAGTTTAAGTGTAAGTATAACTATAAAAAAGCTTTCTATAAAAATTCTGTAGTAATTTAAAGCTAGTTTAACCTTATAAAGAATATTAAAGCTAAGTATAGTATCTAAGATAATAACATGTACAACTTTAATAAAATAAAGTTTATAATAAGCTAGATATCTACTAGAGCAGTTATTATAAGTTTAGAGAGATAAGGATAGCTAAAAGCAGTCTAGCTAGGTAACTAGAAGTAGACAACAGCTATCTAAGGTATTAATGCTAAAAGGTAGGCTATTTTACCTTTTATTATCTTTTAAGGTAGCAACTACCTTTTAAACTAGTATAAAAAGAAAAATTTACTCTAAAATTAGGTTATTATAATTTCTAAGCGCAGCTAGACTACTAATTAGCTTAGTCTAGACTAGTTAAAGCACTTTAATGTGCATATAAAGAAGTATACTGTTAGCAGCTACTGTCTACTAGTTATTAATAGCTATAAAAGCTATAACTTACTTTATTTTTAGTAATACTATAAAGATAATAAAATTATTACTATTTATATACTTTTTTACTTATTACACTTTTTATAGCTACTTAATGTAAGTTGTTTTACTTTTTTAAAAAAAGCATATAAGCGCTAAGCTAAAAACCTTATGCGCAACTAAATTACTTATATTATAAAAATAAAGTTTCTACTATGCTTTTAAGCAGCTTATTATGCTATAATTACTTTTAGTAATATCTAAGAAGGGTTTTAAGGCGCTAGATTAGTTCCTTTTAACCTATAATAAGTTATAATAGGCCTTAATGTAAAGTTACACACTTTATTACTACTACTACTTATATATAACAAGCTCTAGTAGTTGTAAACCTTAAGTAATACTCTAGAACTTAAGTTATAATTAATGCTTATAAAAATAAAAATTTAGAAGCATATAAATAGTTTACTAACTTCTATAGTTAAGGTGTTTAAAAAGGTTTTAAAAAGAGCAGTAATAATTACGCATAAGCTAGTGTTAGTGTAATAGGAAATTACTAAGCTTTAAGTAGCTAATAAAGCTGCTATATAACATAAATTACATAAAAAAAAGCAAATTAAGGCAGAAGAGACCTTAATAATTTAAGAAAGCCTGCGCTTAACAGCTTTAAAGGAGTTTAAAGCACGCAGTGACAGAAAGAAGGCAAAGAAGCAGGTGCAAGCTAAAGTAGGTAAGCTATTCTAAAGGCGCTACAGATAGTGCAATTAGACTAGGCATAACACGCAAACATATAAGTAAGAAGTAGAAGTAGTATCTAAATAATATTCTAGGCTGTACTGTACTATATAGTGCCAGAGCGGGTTGTTATGGGCTATAATAGAGTTTGTTGGGGTGGGGTCTTGGCAAAAGTAAGCGACTCAGGTGTGTGAGCAACTTGCCCATGAAGTACGTTAAGGATTTTAGAGATAGATTGCAATTAAAAATTAAAGCTTTTAATTTATATAATAGAATTAATAATAGAGAATCTTTTAGAGTAGCAATTATTTACTAGTAGGTGGAGCCTCCCTGGGCAGCCCTAACGTCAGCGACGCGCTAGGGCATAGATAATATACACTTCTGCTAATCTTCTAGCTTTAACTTATCCTACTTCTCCTTTAGAATAGACTCTATTTTTTTAATATTACTTATTTAGTGTCTTTTTTTTTAAAATTTAAATCTTTATAATGCGCTAAAGGTTTTTAATAGAATTTAAATTAGAACTTTATGCTAGCTACACTATATAATCTATGTAAAGCTTTTTTTAGAAACTTATAGTTATTTTTAACTTATAGTATAAAGCCTTATTCTTTTACTATAATGTAATACTATGTTTTTTAAAAACTTTAGTATAAAATAGCTATGTGTAAGTAGCTAAGACCTTACTATAATATTTTCTTAAGTCTATTTACTTGCCTTAAGGCAGTATAACTAGCTCTAACTTAAAATCCTAGGATATAGCTGCCTATACTCTAATAGAGCTTTTCCTACTCTTAAAAGTAGGCTTTAAGTATTAAAATTTATATGCATATAATACCTTTTTCTTCTACTTATAGTATTAAGTAGTAAAGATAAGTCCTACTTTAAAAGTTAATTTATTAAAGAAGTAAACATATTTAAAGTTATTATTATTTTAAGTTTTTATATAAGCACCTTAGCAATAATAATTAAGCTTATAGAAAGGCTTAAAGTAGAGCTTAGCGCATAGTTTAAATTTATAGTACTTGTTTTTTTATAAGTATTACTTTACTATATTAACACAGATTACAGTTATTATTTTTCTAGAAGTAGCAAGTACTTTATACTTTTTAAAGAAAAACTGCTTTAGGTGTTGTACTAATTATTACTCTACGCACTTATTAAGCTTTAGGGGTTTTTTTATGTAATAGGCTTTTTTTTAGGGCTTATTCTTACATTTTTATAACTACTTAAGTATTAACTTAATTAATAAGATTAGAATAGAAAAAGTCTTCTATATTTTTAAGAGGCTAAAACTAATATAAGAGAGCGCCTAGATGCTAGTAAGAGTAGGCTTATTGTATTCACAGCAAGCAGTTTTAGGTTAGGAAGGCATAGTAGTAGTGTGGAGAAGGAGGAGAACAAGTGGTGCAGAAAATTTTGAGGTGTGTGGGTTGACCTGATATAGTAAGTTAAGCGAGAGGATGATGACTTCTTAGCACCTATTGTACCCACGTACGTAACCAAAATCAGTCTACTGCTGTGCTCTACTATTAGGCCTACTAACGGGTTGAACACACTGCCGTCCTGTATGATCCCTCTCGGGTTGGCGATCGTAAAGCACTAGAAGGGCCGCCTGAAAAATTGGAAACTTGCTTTGGCTTGCATAGGAGCCAACGGCCAACTGCTTCCATGCCCAGGCAGTCTGACCGTCACGTTATCTGCCTCATTACACCATGTGGCAAATATGTAGCAATTACTAAACACCAACGGTTCATCATCGCGCACAGATTTAATTTCGGTGTAAATTGTAAGAGAATCGATTTATTATCCGTCGAGGTTATTGTCGCCGTTCGTGTGGATGCGATCTTGGAGTTTGGTAGAGAGCAGCATCCCAACACTCAGAGCCAACGTTGGCCGGGTCCTTGCCAAGCACGAGAGTTGGCCTCGAACCACCATGAGACTAGTTGACTTTATTCCATGCGATTAAGCAAACTTAAGAGTGGGTCCGATGATATGGGTGCTGTGGTAACTGGAGAACTCGATGCGGTCAGCATTACTTTCAGAACAGGGCGTAAGGGTGATAAAACTTTGACATGGTGCGGAGCTGCCGGGGTTGCAGATAATCAGCCCATTTGCCGTTTCTTTGGGTACTGATATCACTTCGTTGGGTCGCATTCGCCGAATGCCTTAGGAAAAGGACAGGCCTACTTTTTAGGAGCTAAGACCGCCTGATCTATGCGAATTGCACATGCAGAGCTAAGGCGAAGTAGTATTCGCTACAGAAAGACTCTCGCGATCAAGCCAATCGTTCCACCGTTCGTACCTCACCTCGCCTCACGCTAAAGCTACAAATTACCTCCTGCCTAACAAGCCTCGATCAAGCCTTGGGATCGCCGTCCAATGCGCATGCAAAGTGCTCTCTGTAACATTAAGGAGCGGGGGGCGACTTCTTCGGCAGCAGGGTTTTGAACGAGCCGGACGAGACGAGGAATACCCGGCGTAGCAGTCTTCAAAACCCAAAAGATGAGATGAGAAATTAGGATTAGTAGCTCCTTGTTGCCTTGTGGTCACAATCACTGTTGCCACACCCTTCTTACGCCTGTTCTCAACAACTATCCCCAATAGAGAACAACGAGCAAGGTTAGGTGTATATGTGACCTGACCCCGAGACATCGATTCGATTTAGCTCAATCGACTTCGTCTACCCTTGTGCGAGCCCGAAACCCGACAACCCAGTTTGTGTTCGCCGTAGCAACAGCATGAGCGCAAGCGCGGGAGTAACGAGACTTACCTCAGATGAGTTGAAGCAGAGAGTCATATCAAACACAGGAGAAGATGGACACCTCAAGAATAAAGCATTTGACTTGGATGCGCGAACAGTTGCGATTCTCGGAAAAAGGCACCAGATTAGTGTAAGAGCGATTGAGAACCTCAATTTTCTGCGGCATTGCATTCACAATTGGCTAGAAAAATTTCGGCTTCACGTCTATGTTGAGTTTCTCCACGACGGTGCTTGTCTCATGGGAAGCTTTCGCGGTGTGAGTATGATATCAGCGGCGTAAAATTACGTTTTCTGACAAATTATGCAGCACCTTTCAAGGCGGTTTGGTCAATGGCGGCCCTTCTACCCTGGTATATGGTTTGATTTTCTCTTTCTTCGGCTCTCTGGCAACTGCGGCCTCACTTGCTGAGATGGCATCAATGTTAGCGTCTTCAATTCGTCTACTCTTTCTCAAAATGCCAATACAAACTAAAATGCTTGTAGTTCCCCGACTTCAGGGGGGCAATATCACTGGGTTGCATTGTTGGCTCCTCACAAATACGCGATTTCCTTTAGCTGGTTTGCCGGTTTGTTCATTCTTCGCATTTTCTTTTGCAGTATCCTGACAACCTTTAGGCTGGATTACAGCATTTATGCGAATTGCAGTGACTGCTAGTGTGGCCTTCCTAGCAGCAACGATGATCCAGGGGCTAATTATATTGAACTACCCCGATACGTACACGCCTGAGCAATGGCATGGTACGCTGATGTACTGGGCCGTCACTCTTGTTATCGTGTTCATCAACATATTTGGCATTCGATTTCTCCCTCACATTGAGACCCTAGCCCTGATACTGCACGTAAGTTTCTTCTTCTGTATCCTGGTACCTCTGGTGCATTTGGCCCCGCGAAGCTCCAGTGAGTTCGTATTCAAATCATTCGCGAACAATGGCGGTTGGAAAAGCGATGGTGTTTCTTGGTGCATTGGTCTCTTGACATCGACCTACGCCTTCTCTGGCGTTGACGGAGCCTCTCACATGGGTAAGTAAGCCTTCGTAGCAAAACATTCTTATTATTCAACGAACTGAAATCTAACACAACGATTTAGCCGAAGAAGTGGATAACGCAGCAATTGTGGTCCCCCAAACTATGATCTGGAGTATCATTGTTAGCGGAGTTCTCTGCTTCGGGATGAGCATTGCCATCCTCTTCAGCATCGGAGATGTCACCGCCGCCTTGGAGACGCCAACAGGATTCCCAATTATCGAGATTTTCTTCAATGCCACCAAATCTTACGCGGCCACCAATGCCATGGTATCTGCTTTGATTATATCCATTTTCTTCTCTGCCCTAGGTCTGTTAGCCTCAGGCTCTAGGCTTATTTGGGCATTCGCTCGTGACGATGGGATGCCATTCCCTCATTACTTCTCTCATGTAAGTTCTATAGAATAGACTTTTGGGCTTGGACCTAATAGATATCTAAGGTTGACGCTCGATTTGGCATCCCGGTTCGCGCCATCCTGTGGAGCGCAGTTTTAATTGCACTCCTTGGTCTGATCAACTTGGGATCGACGACGGCGTTTAATGCAATGGTTTCTCTTGCCTTGCTCGGACAATACTCGACCTATGTGCTTCCGACTATCTTCATTCTCGCCCGCCGTATCCACCCAGGAAAGAACATCCCTTTCGGTCCATGGGAGTTGGGCAAGTGGGGCATCCCGATTAACATTTTCACCATCGCCTTTTCGTTCTTGACGATTGCATTCAACGTCCTCCCACCTTATTTCCCCGTGACTGCCGTAAATATGAATTACGCAGGAGTCGTGTTTGGGGTAGCACTGATCATCTGCGGTCTCCTTTGGCTTCTGAGAGGAAAAAGGCACTACGCAGGACCTATTAGGGAGGTGATGGAGAACGGAAATGTACGATCGGCGCTTCTGAACTGCGAAATCGAGCCGGCACATAACCGTGAGGTTCATGACACTGATAAGGTAGCTTAAGCTAGTCTAGGGTTGCAGAAAAGTGTGGGATTACAAATAGATTCATCGTCATGTAGCTTACGCCTGTGTTCATGGCGGCTGCGAGCATTTACATTGGCTTTGTTTATTCTTCGGTGACAAATTCGATCTTCTAGCCTAGGTAGCTTATTGTCGCGCATGCATTTTATCCGCCTATATATATTCTTCTTCTGTGCTTGGTAGGCGGTTAACCTTTTGCCACCTGCGACACTTAGGTGGGACATGTGCTCCACCACCTGGATCTCCATACGATGCTTCGAGGGTAAAAGCTAGATATGATTCATCTGCTCCTCATGGTACTTCATTTGCTGAGTAAAGCCTCTTATTCTGCCGCTTCAGATACTCCCCGGCAGCCACATCTTCGTAGCTGGCTTGATTCTCAGTCTGTACGAAGTGCAGTAGAAGACCAAAGGTCATAGTTGGGGGAGCGTGATAGAACATGGTTGCTAATCTTCGCTCAGGAACACGGGCCTTTCCAGATACAGATGCTGCATTTGATAAAGAAATGACAGGTGGTAAGTCCTCCAGACGCACAGCTGCTCGCAAGTGCCCGCTTGTCCAACGTTCCATCGTGTCCGAAGCCAGCAGCACGGCATCTCCTTCTTTCTCGATAAACAAAGGTGTGAACTCACTTTCTCGAGATTCGCGGACCTCCAGCTCCAGGCCGCTCGGACCAATTCTATCCTGTAGCAAGGCGCTCACCATCCCTAAATCAGAGGGCGGCCAGATTCTTCGCGTCGTGATCTCGTTGGTCTCGGAGGGTCGACTTTCACTTGCTCGCGTATCCACAGTACCTTCCGAGGACAATTTTCTCCATCTCCAGATAAAATTTCAAATCCAACTCTACCCCTTCACCCCCCTAGGTATAGCCACTGATGGATCCTGTAGGGATATTTACCCTTCTTCAATAACATCGACCATCACGCGACAAGTCTCTCCGATTTCCCTATAACCCTTTCTCGTCACTGTGTTGGAATCTTGAAGAAAGTTTTTGCCCAGCTGAGATGTTGGAACCTGAGTGCCTTGTAGCGGGGCAAAATCAAATTGCTCACTTGCTGATAAGGTGTTGGACTGAATGGCAATGTTGATTCTCTGGCCGTAGTCGCACTGGAGTTTACGTTTAGGGCAGTGTGAATATCATATCTTAAACAGCTGTCTTTTCATATGCCTATAGAGAATAACCCCTTACTGAGACTTCATCTCCCGATGGCGGACGTTAAGTTTTCCGGGAAGCGGAAGATCGAAAAATCGAAAAATCGAAAAACCGACGATGCCGCAACCATTTTAGTCCGATCGGAATTTTGTGAAGCACAATAATGAAGAAAAAAGCGCAGTATAAAGATGTAATCTCAAAATAAAATTCATGCGTACATATTCAAATAGTTCCTTGATAGTGGCTGGGCGACGCCGTGATTGCGCACCCGTGCGAACCCGTATATCCTTAGGTGCGACATTAGCGCTGCGGGAAATAACGGCGAGGATGAGGGTTAGAAACAAACTTGTTCGCGAAAAATATTGGAGAGGCATCCGGTGTCGGAGGCCGTCGGAATATCTGGGGGACCTTGAAGCGATGTTAACAGGGATTTGGATCGGGTGACGAAACTAGAAGAGAGTTAGGGAGGTACATGTGTCAATCACCATGTCACGAGAGGCACAGCAGATAAAGATAGATGCGCCAGGTAGTGCAGGACAACCTTTGGCAGTTTGTCACCTGCCTACCCCGCTTTCACACAGTCAATCCTGTCGCACGTGAAACTAGTTCACGTGACCTAGCGTAGGGTGAATGTGGGTCCTTCACCTCTCACCCCTCTCCTGTTTAGGACTAGCGCTCTTTTAGCTACTATATATTTACCTCTGAGCTCTCTCGAGCTCCAGAGACCCGACACCTCACCTCAATAGACCTAGATCGTCTCTCATTACCTAATTGACTGCTCCATGCTCTCCGCCATCCTCCAGCTCTAACCCTGCGATAAATCCGCCTGCACGCATGAACGAACGTGCAGTAAATACCTTTTAGTAGAAGAGAGACCTAGCTCTTTCTTTATGGGGCGGAATCTTAGTCCTTAGTACGTCGACTCTCTTCCAACCCCCTCACTTTCTTTTGTTTATGCTACTTCCTTCACGTTGACTGCGCCTTAGTGTTGCCCACACTCGCGTGTAACAATGAGCTCTACAGACAAAATTGGCATTGCCTTGGTTTCTGACGAGGTGATCCCCGTGTGTGCCGAGCTCCTGTCGAAAAACTTTGGCCATGATGCACCTTTTGTGGATATTTACTTCCCGGACCACGATACACCTTCGGGACAGGCGTCGCTTTCGAAGCGTTTAACGTCTTGGAAGCCATCCTCTCCACAATCCACATTCTTGAAAGCAGTCACCAAGCCTGGCCAGAGCAGTCACCAAGCCTGGCCAGGGCAGTCAGGAACTCATCGCGGGCTTCGCTCTCTGGACCTTGACGAAAGAGCCTCCACCTGCAGAGCTTGAGAAGGCGGAGAATGTCGAGGACCTCTAGCCAGACAAAGACGATTCGCGAATTCATGACTCGCGTCTGGAGCAAAATTCGTGATCGCACGGACTCACACTATCAGGGAGTCCTCTGGGAAAGGAGTCTACGGTAAGTGAGTACCGTTGGTAAAATCCGAACAGGATTTCTCACATCCCGATGCAATGCTAGAGTTGCTAGCAGCGCATCCAGATTACCAGCGTTTGGGTGCCGGCACAGCTCTTGTCGCGTGGGGGAACTGAAGCCGCTGATGGAAAAGGACTCAAGGTGAGACTGTCAATTATTTCCCCGTCTTTTGATTATATATCTTCGACATATTCATGGCAAAGCATCAAGAGAAACCCCAATAGGTACAGTGTGGCATCTAATCGAGAACTAATAAGCTTATTTTGTAGTCAGTTGTTGGAGTCACTCTATCAGGACGACGATGCTATGAGAAGGGTGGCTTCCATAGAGATCGAGGAAATGGATTTCGATGTTGGCGAAGAATTTAGTGGAAGAGGGAAACCCACCCTTCGCTTCCTGACGAGAGAACCTAAAACTTAAGCACGGCTACTCTCAGGGTCCGGAACGGAAGGGTTGTTTATAGATCCACGCAGCAAAACCCATGCGCTACCTGCCCGCTACATCTTCTGCTCACCCAATGGTGATTATCAGAAACACTCCAGCAAGTTCGATTCTTTGATCCCCCTGCTTCAATGCTTCTGGAATATGAGGAATATTGAAAGCTTCTGATCCTCAATTCTCATCGAAATTTCCACGCCCGTTGCTCTGAAGAAACTCTTGCATCCAGTGGAATTTTCTAACATGTTTCCTTTCACGATGCATCTCTCATTATATTGCTAGATGATAAAAAGTTGCTGCAAGAAAGACACCTCTTTTTTTTTTAAACCTAATAGATGACATGAGGATTTAGGCAATTCCATAGTATCGCGCGCTCGTCAGCGTGTGACATTAATACTGTCACTAAGAAATCTCCTTCGATAGACCAACAGAGCTCTCTACAATGTTCAGACGGGAAAGTACGATTGATTGGTAGTGAGGGGAGGGTTGAAGTAGGAGGTTGTCAGCTTCAAAATAGTTCGACTATTCGCCTAAGCGCATTCGCCTTTCATAGGCATTCAGCCTTATACCCTAAGCGTAAAAATAAATAAAAACATTCTATACAAACAATTTAGTCCCACAGCGCTAAGATCTATACTGTAAAGAACTTGTTCCCACATAAAGAACAATAGTAGTTGCTAAGAGTGTCTAGACAGGCGGGTAACACTAGAAACAAGAAGACATAGGTAAGCAGAACCTTGTGTACTTCTTAAGCAGAAAGCTTATAGAGGGCAAACCTTAGTATAATATACATAACAAAGAAATGCTAGCTAGTGTTAAGGCATTTAGATAGCTTTAGATACAGCTATTAACATTAAAATACTTTATAACTATTTGCTTAAACTACTAAAATCTAATAAAGTTTACTATAGCTAAGTAACTAAACCTATAACTAGTTAGATAAGTAGAAGAGTTAGCCTAGTTTAATTTTAAAATCTATTACTAGAAAGAAATTCTTAATAGAGCTGCTAACGTATTAAGTGTAAGGATTCGCATGAATCGTCCCATCTTAGGTTGCTTAGAACCCATATCTAAAGGTTCCTTGTATTAGCCCCAACCCTGACCTGGCCCCTGCTGTACCTCTATTCCCCTAAGTATTTAGTCGCACCTCTCCCCTGTAGCTAGCTTAGTAGTTTTCTAATATCCTTTGTACAAGGCCTATAGGTGTGAATAGAATTCCCAGGTTTCTAAGTCCCCACGCACTCCTATATGCCTCTAAGTGGATTCACACCGCATTTAGGCCTGTTGTCTTGCCTGTGCTGTTACATTAAGCAAGAGACTAGACTTCATAGATAGAAAAAAGCACGTTATAGACCTAATGCTTTAGACAATAAGCAATAGTACGCTAGAATACACACATCTTTAAAAAAGAATCTTAGATAAAGATTAATAACATCTACTATATGCAAGTTGCTTACACACCTAAGTTACTTACTTTTACTAAGACTATACTAAACTACTTTTTTTACACTAATAAATTTCTAACTACACTACTTAAACATGTTAAAGAAATATTAGATATAGCTTATACTTTTAGCTTTTAAATAATACATAACACTTTTTAAGTAACATGCTGCAGCTATGTATAAGATTCTGTTGCCTATACTAAGAGCCTTAGCTAAGGCTTAGAGCCTAGGACGCGGCTTAGGATCTAGAGATAGTATGTTCTAAAGCTTAGTAAATATAAAGAGAGCCTTTAACTCTCTTAGATAGCAGAGTTACTTTATCTAATATTCTAAACAGCTATGCTAAGCTATTTTATTCTCTACAGATTCTTTAAAAGATAATAAATAACTAAAATACTAAATAACTTTTATAATCTAATTCTATCGCTAACTTGTAAAAGCTAGATAATAATAGAAAGTAAGTAATTATTAAGTATATACTTAAGCTAAATCTGTAAGGATTTTCCTCTTAGCTAGTAGCTATAGCTAATATAACTAATTCTTTACACGCTAAGTATAATCTAGGCTCTATTAGCATACACTAGCTAAGTATATTTATTAAGTGTTATCTAAGGCTTAAAGGAAACTTTAAGTGTAAATATAACTATAAAAAAGCTTTTTATAAAAATTCTAAAGTAATTTAAAGCTAGTTTAACCTTATAAAGAATATTAAAGCTAAGTATAGCATCTAGAATAATAACACATATAACTTTAATAAAATAATCTTTATAATAGGCTAAATATGTAGCAAGGTAGGCATAGTTAACTACATGGCCTTCTCTCGCTTATAGAGGTTTCGGCTAGACTAGAGACAACCGCTAGTGCTAGTGCTAGCCCTAGCATTATCTACATATACTTACTATGTAAGAATACTTAGCTGAAGTATTCTGTGCGTACCTTTTAGTATAGTAGAGAACGGTGTATAGTATTAGCTTAGTAGACAGGGCATCTACCTTATTACAGAATACTTAAGCTTTTTAAAGGTTAAGAGTTTAAGTTCTAGTAATTGCTCTAGCTTAAATTATAGCAAAGGCTATAATAAAAGTAGAGTAGATATATATTCTTAGCTTTATGTCTTAGAGACTAAGACTATTAAGAGAGGGGATAGTGTAATAAGATAGGCACAGTTAACCACGTGGCCTTCTCTTGCTTATAGAGGTTTAGGCTAGGCTAGAGACAACTGCTAGTGCTAGTGCTAGCCCTAGAATTATCTATATATATATTATACTATGCAAGAATACTTAGCTTAAGTATTCTTGTATGCACCTTTTAGTATGGTTGTTAGATTTAAGCACTGTTTCTGAGCTTCCTAAGATGAATGATGGGTTTGGATATGATGTATGGGATGATGATTCATTGTATTGATTTATTGATCTTTTTCTGCTCTACTTGTGTTGCTCGGCTTTTTGTTTTGCCGATCCGAGTCCCTCGCGCACTTGCCCTATGCGCGACCAGCTTGCAAAATGCTGCAAAATGCTGCAACATGCTGCAAAATGCTGCAATTTGATGCAATTTGCTGCAACATGCTGCAAAATGCTGCAAAATGCTGCAATTTGCTGCAAAATGCTGCAACATGCTGCAACATGCAGCAATTTGCAGCAACATACTGTTCGAGCTTATTGCTCGTACTATGTAGCAGCTTTCGTCAAGCGTTCCTCCTGTCTTGACAGTAGGTGCGCATATCTGACAATGGTAGAGAAAGTTGTATAGTATTAACTTAGCAGGCAGGGCACCTACCTTATTACTAAATATCTACTAACTATACTTAATCTTAAAACTTTACTTTAGGCTTTAAAAAACACTTACTAAACATACTAGGCTAGTTTATGCTAATATAGCCTAGATTATACTTAGCGCGCTAAGAATTAGCTATATAAGCTATAGCTACTAGCTAAAAGGAAAATTCTTACACATCGAGCTTAAGTATATGCTTAATAATTACTTACTCTTTATTATTATTTAGCCTTTACAAGCTAGCTATAAAATTACCTTGTAAGGGTTATCTAGTGTGATGACAAGCACTGTCTCTACTACCGCATGGAGCTGGGGAAGCAAGGTAGAGTAGGTCGGCTCTATTTCAGCTAAACTAGGATGGGGAGTGAAGGAGGCGAAGGGTTTTCGCGAGAGAGAAGCTTGCGCAGCGCCAAGGCGCTAGCGCGCTCGCTTAACCCTTAGCGAGATCATGTGACTAGCAGCGGAGCTTGACAAGCAGCACTGTTACATCTAGTGTATTAGTTATTTATTATTTTTTAACAGACTTTATAATGTACTCTACAGACAAGTTGCTTACACATCTAAGTTGCTTACTTTTGCTAAAACTTTACTAAACTACTTTTCTTATACTAATGCATTTCTTATAAGACTACTTAAATATGCTAAAAAAACATTAGATATAGCTTATACTTTAAGCTTTTAAATAAAACATAACACTTTTAAAGTAATATACTATAGCTATATATGTAAAGATTTTTCTTTTAGCTAGTAGCTATAGCTAATATAGCTAATTCTTTACGCGCTAAGTATAATCTAGGCTATATTAGCATAAACTAGCTTAGTATATTTATAAAATGTTATCTAAAGCTTAAAGTAAAGTTTTAGAAATAAGTATAGTTAGTAAATAGATATCTTACTTATTATAAAGCTTATTTTATTAAAGTTATACATGTTATTATTCTAGATACTATACTTTGCTTTAATACTTTTTATTAGGCTAAACTAGCTTTAAACTACTTTAAGATTTTTATAAAAAGCTTTTTTATAGTTATTATTATACTTAAACTTTACTTTAAGCTTTAAATAACACTTTATAAACATACTAGGCTAGTTTATGCTAATATAGCCTAAATTATGCTTAGCGTGTAAAGGATTAGCTATATTAGCTATAGCTACTAGCTAAAAGAAAAATCTTTACATATATAGTTTATGTATGTGCTTAATAATTACTTACTTTTTATTATTACTTAGCTTTTATAAGTTAGCTATAGAATTAGCTTATAAAAGTTCTTTAGTGTGTTAGTTATTTATTATTTTTTAAAAAACACTATACATAGCTATAGCATGTTGCTTTAAAAGTGTTATGTTTTATTTAAAGGTCTAAACTATAAGCTATATCTAATGTTTTTTTAGCATGTCTAAGTAGTGTTGTTAGAAATGTATTAGTGTAAGAAAAGTAGTTTAGTAAAGTCTTAGTAAAAGTAAGTAACTTAGGTGTGTAAGCAACTCGCCTGTAGAGTACATTATATAGCTGTAGTATGTTACTTAAAAAGTGTTATATTTTATTTAAAACCTTAAAGTGTAAGCTGTATTTAATGTTTTTTTAATATATTTAAGTAGTGTTGTTAGAAATGCATTAGTGTAAAAAAAGTAGTTTAGTATAGTCTTAGTAAAAGTAACTAACTTAAGTGTGTAAGCAACTTGCCTATAGTCTATGTTATAGTATACCTTAGAATAATAGAAAATAAATAGATAAATAAAACTTATAAATAGTATAATACTATTAATACTTACTAGTGTTACGTAAACATAGAATTAGCAACTATAGACTATTAGTTAAATAGTAGAATAAGCTTATTATATTCCTCTACTACTTAATAAAGTATAGTTTCTAATAGGCTAAGGCTATAGCTAAGAGTATTAGACAACTATTTATAATATTAAAGCTTATATAAAGAGTTAAAAATGTTTTTAAGTAATATAATATATGTGTAAAAAGAAACCTAATAAGACATAAACTATACAAGCTTCTTTATCTACTAAAAGCGCTAAACAA